AACTTTTGATCCTGTCAAGTGTCATTAAAAGGCCGCTTTTACTGTCATTCGGAGAAAAATGTAATTTTTTGAGTAACATTTGTTTTTAATGTTGACAGTACGCTAGTAATTTTTTTTTCTACTTTTGGCAACTATGTTCGCGCACCGCAATATGGCGTCCAAACAAAAGGTCAATTAGGCAATCTCATGACCTGTCAAACGAAATTCAATTGACTATCCAAAACACGTGACTTTGACAAGCAAAATATGGCCGACAAGAGGCATACCAATGAACTATAACCAAAAACTGGAATGCGAACACATATTGACGAACGTGAAGCCTAGTGCCGCTGCTGGGGAGGGGATACCTGTTTTTGTCGCACTCATTATATTAAATGGCGGAAATTGCTTCCAACACGTATTCCAATTGATGAAACATGTGAAGGTAAATATGACAAAACTTTCCAAATCGTCATATGTCAGCGAGCAACAGAAAAAAACAACATTCCCCTTTGTGGCATCTGTCTTTCATGGCTACATTTTTTTGGCAGATATGGCAATGTGTGCGCATTCCAGTTTTTGTCTATAGTTCATTGAGGCACACAAACATTGACACAAACACAAACCATAACGTCATTATGTTATGTCATTAATAATCATAATTCAATACTTATTTTCTATTGTGTGCATCCCAATTTTTGCCAGCTTCTACCCAATTACGCAATCCTTATCGTTTGGGCAAGGTTGCTCTACCTGCATTTCACTTGGCCACGCAGGATCTACCCTTGATGAGAAAATATTTATTTATTTCAACTCCACCGTACAGTGTTGTGTTTTGATTTGTATTGTTTTTTTCACTTGGAATCTGAAAAAAATTAAGAATTTGCTGATCTCCACGACTTCCACATTTAATGCTGTAACACGTTGTAGGCATGTTTTTCGCGTTTTTGAGAACTATAGACATTTTAAGTTGGACTAAACACGTTAACGTAATCTTTAAACGTAAACCCTATTTTTTACTAAAGCGTCAAGTGACCGTCGGTGCTTACAAATCAGTTTCAGTTAAATTTTCACGTAAACGTTAACGTTATATGTCACAATCATGACCTAACCTCTAAATTTTGTTGTGAAAAAGACAAATTAGAATAGCTATTTATACAATAAGTTACGAAATGAGCGTCTTTTAGGCACGCGACGTGAAAATTGTCCAACGAGGCAAAGCCGAGTTGGACAACACGTCGAGTGACTAAAAGACATCGTTTCGTAACGTATTGTATACAAGATTTTTTCTACTGGCATTTTATAATAAAAAAACACAATTTTATTTCATGCGAATACGTCGATTACACCCAAAATCTTTGTTACCTGCTTTTACTTGACACCTGACACTTTTCATGCGATTTTCTTTTCAAAATTCGACATCAATAATTAAAATCCTAGAAAGTAGGTAATAACACAAACTTCTGTTTTGAGTAACCCAAACGTTCAATTCAGTAATTCCATTTTCAATATTCATAATAAATACAAAACAAAATTCAAATATGTGTTTAGTGTGTTTTTTATTTCTGAATAATGAATGACACTTTTAGGCACTAGTGCTTAAAAATTACTTTTACGCACTCATAAGTCACTTTTACGCATTCAAAAGTCACTTTTACGCACTGAGTGCCTAAAAGTAACTTTCACGCACTCAGTGCCTAAAAGAATGTCGTTTCAAAACTGAAATGACAATCGAAAAGTTGCTATTATGAAACGTCAGTAGAAAAATATTTTTTTGTATTTTGATTATTTTGAATTACATGACAACTTTTTTTTAAGGTTAAAATACATTCGGCAAAGGTCGACACCGGCAATCTTGCTTTCGGGCCCGCTCGATTTAACGAACGTTTACGGATAAGGTACACGCAAAGACCCGCTAAATAACGTGATACGTAACACGCTATTTTTGGTGAAAAGAAACTGCGCATGCGCAGCTGTCAAATCTTACGTTAGCGTTAACGTATTTTGTCTAACTTAAAAGTGTCTATTTTACTACTATTTACTTTACATACACTATTTCTAACATTAATGAAAATAACAGTTTTAAGTATCAGAACGCAAATTCACAATCACAATGAGCCCTATTTTAGGCTCATACATTATTTGATGACAAATTTGATGACACATGAGTTTGTGTGCCTCTTGGCGGCCATTATAATTCAAGTTTGACAGCATCTTGGATAGTCTATATTAGACTATCCAAGATGCTTTAGGTTACTGATAGATGAAAAATGATTATTTTGTCACATTATGGACATTTAGGTTTGACATTGGCATCTGTGATTGGAATCACATTGGCAATCAGGCCTATGATGTAGCATTTTCTGTTAATCAGCCTTATTCACGTCTCCGCTTGTTTATTGAAATTTTCCAATATTGGATATTGAGACATTTCAATATTGAAGAGATTTCTTATTCACGTGTACCCCTTGAAAACGGGATTGTTGGAAATTGGAAAACTGTTCTTTGATTGAATGAGTTTAGGCGGCAACACTGTAAATTGCCAAAAACCTTTAAAATATAACCCCACTTGTCTATTAATTTTGTTGTTTATGAGTTTATTTATTTATTTTAGTGCCTGATTTTTTTTGTGAGCGTTTTATATGGTTTATTTATATGCCATAATATGAAATTACAGCTTAGTTCAAGTTAGACTAGTTAGAGTGACACAAACTAACAAACCTTTTGTCATATTCATACCCACTTTCATAATGGAGGAAAAACGCACATCAGAAATACAATAAAAATGCAATGCACTTAAAAAAATAATCACAGACTTTATGGGATGCAAGATGCAATGCGGACGTTCTGCATCTGGAAGAAATTACCCAATTTCCTCAATTAGATTAGATAGAGATACCTTGCAGTATTTTTTCAAAACCTGCTGATGTTTTTAAAAATATTTTCTGGCAAATCCAGAGGGTTGCTTGTCTCCTGAAGGTTCTTTTTCTGATTGTGTTCAAGTCTAAAAAGTATAATACGATCATAGTTATCCAAGGTACTTGATTTTCTTAGACGATTTTTTGATAGCTCATACCACTCACTAGGAATAAAGAGCTTCCTTACCTTTAATTTTTTCCTTATAATGCTGCAATTAGCAACGGAAAATTATCCATAATTGAAAATAAAATACCACGCAATTCTATAGTTATTGAATCAAGTTTTGAAAACGACTTTTTTCATACGGCCGAGACAGTTTGTTGGACCGAGCCGTAGGCGAGTTCCACAAGTCGAGCGAGTGTGAAAAAAGGTTTTCAAACGAGTTTTTCACAATGTTTTTCCTACAAATACAAAAAAAAACAACCAAATATATGTAATTTCTATTTACCAAAATTAATAAAAAACTAATAAGCAGCGTGTGAAGAACTTTTTCATAACACAAAACCCAATAGTTTTTCAATCAGCCCTATTCACGTGTGCCCTTGGATATTGATTATTGCATTGGTTATTGGAAAACTGTAAAAATATGGTGGATTGTTATTCTAGTGCTCCTTGGTTATCGTATTGAATATTAGTTATTGTATGTCATATTGGTTATTGAAATTGATATCCAATTTCTTATTCAGGTGTGCCATATTTTTCAATAACAGTTTTCAGTGTTTCATATTCTGTAATCAGCTGGTTCAAGCACCTGCTTAACAGATTGGATATTGGAATTGGAAAAATTTCCTTTGATGTTTGAATAGGAATTTTTGCTTAAGGTCTGCTTAGAGGAAAATGGGTGATGTGAACTTTCCTCTTTTGATTGCTGCGTTGCAAAATGAAGAAGAAAGGTAAATACAGCAAAAAGATAGGTACAAATTAGTATTTTTCTGCATTTTCCACTTACTTGTTTTAGGTTAGAACACAATCGAAGGAAAAAATTTTTGAGAGATACAACAGATCCACTTGATCTACCTGAAAATGTTTTCAAGTCTATTTATAGATTCAACAAGGATACTGCAAGGTATTTGATAAATGAAATTGGTTTATATATTCCTGATGCAGAAAGAGACCATTTAAAAATACCGAAGTCACAAATGATTTTATGTGCCCTACATTTTTATGCCCAAGGAACATACCAGAAATCTACTGGACAGGATATGAACTGTCCTATGAGTCAGGCCTCAGTTAGCAGGTGTATTGATATCGTAACTGATATCTTGAATGAACATTTTGGCCATAAAATTCATTTTCCTCAAACAGAGCAAGAAAAAAATATGGAAAAGATGGAGTTTTATAACAACTTCAATGGATTTCCAGGTATCTGAATAATGAATATCTTTTATATTTGTTAGAGTTTATTTTAGGCATCATAGGAGTGGTAGATGGAACACATGTGAGAATAATTGCACCACCTGTTAACGATGAAGATTTTCCAGCAATCCTCTTTTATAATCGTAAAGGTTTTTATAGTCTAAATGTTCAGATAATTTGCTCTGCAGATTATAAAATTCTTGCTGTTAACCCTAGATATCCGGGTAGTGTGCATGACTCAGCAGTATGGAGCACAAGTCTGCCTAGGCTTCATTTAATACAAGAATTCAGAAATGGAAACAGATCCTCCTGGCTACTAGGTGATAGTGGATATCCATTAGAACCTTGGCTTATTACTCCTATAATAGGAAACATGAATGAACAGGAGAGAAGATTCAACACACTTTTTAAACGCATAAGAAACATAATCGAGAGAGTTATTGGCATTTTAAAGTCAAGATTTAGATGCTGTTTTGGCCACAGAGCCTTACATTATGCTCCTCTAAAAGCAGCAAAAATTATCAATGCTTGTGTCATTTTGCACAATATATTGCTAGAAAGAAGAGATTTTATTGATGAAGAAAACCTTGATGATGATTTACCTGTTCCAGATCAACCAAATAATTTTGACAACTTGAATGTTGGTCAAAATTACTTCAACGAAGGTGTACGCACAAGGAACAGGATAATTAATAATTATTTTTAATTTATTTTGTCAAAAAATATATGTATATTAAGTATATTAATTATAAAACAGATGTTATGAAAAACATTCGCATTTTTAACTGAATTAAAGCATATCTATTCATAGCATCTACAATTTTTTTAATAGCTATAATAAATCTTTCCAGGCTATTCTGCAACTTTTTGCTTCCGGCTCTCATTAAATGTAAAATTTTCCTTTGTTTTTTCGTTTTCCTCTGATATCTTATGTAATGACATGTAACCACCTTTTTCCTTCGAGGTTGCTTCGGCTGATTTTTTCCCAACTCCTAAAATACATGGAAAATTTAGCACTAATAACAGTTCTGACGCTTGTCATATGTTTTTTTTTAAACACATGAATCTAGGAACTTATGCTGTTCATCAAAACACTTTTCATTACACAAACCTTTGGTTTCAAGAAACCTAGCTCAGGTACCAACATTCCTTGAATGCATAATATGCTGAGAATAGCCAACAGCTTTTCCTCAAGCTCAGTCAAAACTTTTGGATTGGGCAAGCCTCCACCTGTGAGGTGGTGATCAATATAAATTTCCCTCGCTTTTCTTTTCACTGTATTTTTCCACCTCCAAAATGCCTTGAAAATATTAAAGTTATTAGCAAAAAAAATATATACCTAGACATGTAGCAAAACAGTTTGTATATTATTTTATTAATTAATTAGACAAAAAAAAATTGAACTGAAGAATGACCAATTTTATATACATGTTCTTCCTTTTGCTATACCTATGACGCATACTTACCTCTTGCCATTCTTGGACACTTTTAGAAGCTCCACCAGGTACTTTGTTCAGTTCCTTACATAATTCAGTGAAGTCTTTGCCCTTACTTTCTATAAACTGCACATACATAGAATATTGTTTGTAAACTATTCTCTCCGACTCTAAAAGAATTATTTGTTTTAAAAAATACAAGAATAATACTAACAGTATAAAGCTCAAAACATTTATTCAAAAATAAAATACATGACAGTCAAAACAAGAACAGAAACATCCTATTTTCTTTAAACAAAATCACATGAAAATACAGTTTAAAACTCAAAACATTTATTCAAAAATAAAAGAACAGAAACATCCTATTTTCTTTAAACAAAATCACATGAAAATACAGTTTTCTTGAAAAAAAAATAAATTGAATAAGGAACAACAAAAACACATTTAACTGAGATCCCCCTCTTCAATTGTAAATGTGTTTGTTGCAGTACTTTCAGTTATATCACAGTAGCGATTAATGGCCTTCGCCACTTCTAGAATGGCTAGGCCTATACCATCCATTTTCTCTGCCAGTTTATTAGTTGCACTTTCGTACGTCTGGCAGAGAATGTCGCCAGTTCCTGCTCTTTTGATTTCTATAATTAAAAAATATATTTCTAGGTCTATATTCCTAATTCTGTTTTACTGAAAAACATGAAGACCCTTCCTTTTGAAAAATAACTAACATTTCTGAAAATATTAAACCCTCCTAAGTATATAACTTACTTTTTTTTTTGGTTTTAACAGACTGGCTAGCAGATTGGGTTTGTTCTGATGGTTGTTCACTGGGTGGAACGGAATCCGTTTCATCTTCTGAATCACCACTTATACCTTTTGCTTCAGAATACTAAAAATTTTGAGCTTATGACTCTGTACGAAATATTTGCTTTTATGCTAAAGTTGTGTAAAATATTTAAGTACCTAGGTACTCCATGATTTTTTTGAAGTTTTTTTATTGTATGAGAGAACATAAACAACATTTACTTACAACAGTCTGTGAGGAACCTGGCTGATAAGTTAAATCTTGATCTCCTTTTATTGGCCTGTTAGGCTGGGGAAGACCTAGCTCACCCGTGTCAAGCCCTGAAATTGCCCCTCGACCAGTAAGCTCTATCACCTGAGCTTCAAGCTCGGAAAGGGCTTTGTTCTCTCTGGCCTTCTTCCGACAGACTCCTTTCCACTCGGTGAAAACCTTGAAACAAAAACTATTATTGTTTTGTTTTCTCTTAGATAAGTTACCTCCCCAGTAACCTTTAACAAAAACACAAGAAGTACCTATTCCCTGGTCCCTGGCAAAGTGGTATATTAATTTTATGCTAACAAGAATTGCTCACCTTTTTCCAAGCTACTATGTCTCTGATGGGACCATCTCCGCAGGAATTTAATTCCTGAACTAAACTCCTCCATACAGCTTCCAAGTCCTCAGGATTGGTGGAAGGACTTAACTTGCCCGTTAAAAGAATTTTGTTTGTTTTTAAATAGTCGGTGTATATTTTGAATTGTTTTTTTGATGTTCGTTTTTTCTCCATTTTGGAACAAAAGTTTTAGAAATCTCCCATTTAATTATCAATGAAAAACATCGATTATTAAATTATTAATTAACAAATACCTTCTAAAATAAAAACTCAAAGAAAATTGAGGTTATATTACTGTCAACTTCTTCTCATTTGACCTATTTTACACTGTTGCCAAGCTTAAAAACAAGTCTACATAAAAGTTTTTCAATATTCAAGAACCTGACTTTCAAGACCGGCACGTGAATAGAAAATGTTTACCATATTGAAATTTTTCAAGATTCAATATTGCAAAATATTCAATATCCAATGCAGCACCTGAATAAGGCTGAATATCCAATCTGCCAAGCCGGTGCCCGAACCACCTGCTTACAATATGAAACACTGAAAACTGTTATTGCAAAATATAGTACACCTGAATAAGAAATTCGATGTTAATTTCAATAACCAATATGACGTTCAATAACCAATATTCAATTCAACAACTAAGGAGCACCTGAATAACAATCCACCATATTTTTACAGTTTTCCAATAACCAAGGCAATAACCAATATCCAAGGACACACGTGAATAGGGCTGATTTTAACAGCAACGTTAAGTTATCTGTCACTGTTTATTCTACAGGTAAAAATAGAGACAGGTACAGATTTTGGAGTGCGTTCGAAATTGCCTTGGGCGTCACACCGAGTGCACACCTGCCATGAATAATTCATAGCTGGTGTGCACTCGGTGTGACACCCAGGGTGATTTCGAACGCACCCTTGAGCTATAACATAACTGTTAAAATGAATGAACTATAGCTAAAAACTGGAATGCGCACACATTGCCATATCTGCCAAAAAAATGTAGCCATGAAAGATAGATGCCACAAAGGGGAATGCTGTTTTTTTCTGTTGCTTGCTGACATATGACGTTTTCGAAAGTTTTGTCATATTTCCCTTCACAGGTTTCATCAATTGTAATACGTGTTGGAAGCAATTTTCGCCATTTAACATAATGAGTGCGACAAAAACAGGTATCCCCTCCGCAGCAGCCGCACTAGGCTTCAAGTTCGTCCTTATGTGTTAGCATTCCAGTTTTCGGTTATAGTTCATTGGTTAAAATAATAGGATAGGATACATCATAGGCCTGATTGTCATAATTATCATCATTTTGGCATCTACAACTATAAGGGCCCTGAACAAAAATGCTTTTTTTATGAAGGTCACCACAATTTGACCTGTACGGCCATATTGGAATAGATTGCCTAATGAACAATTACACGTAGCTGGAACGGACCTAACAGCTGCTTTCAATGTCCATTTAAATTTTATGGTAGTGAGAACGACAATAAAAGGGGTTGTTTGCTCTGTCGCACACGTACCATCGTCACCAAAAGTAACTGGGACAGCATCACATTAGCTCTTGTCCTATTATATGAATTTTATTGTCAAATATTTGTCAAATTATGCATTAAATGCATTGAAATGAATGACAGTAGAATTAGTCCAGGAGATTATTATGCATTATTTGTGTCCCAGTTACTTTTGGTGACGATGGTACATGTTTACGAGCAATGGTGGGGTATAATCAAGTATAATAAATCCACCTAGCCTTGTCCAATAATGCGTAAGACAAAGACGGCCACCCCTTTTACTCGTCGATTTTCTCCGAAATTTTGACAGGTACGTGACTGGATCAGACAGTTTCAATTCACAATTCACGCGCCTGTCAAAATTTCGGAGCAAATCGACGAAAAAGATAACAAAAACGAACACGGCCGTAGTACAATACATTTTCCTGGTTTAAACAGCTGACGACCTAAACCGAATTTTCGCGACGAATGTAGTTGATCTAAGGACGAACCATAGTTCGTCTTGTGACGTCATGACTTTGAACGCTGGTTAGAAGCTGCATCCATCTTCGGTCGAATTACGTTCAATATGACGTCATGAGTTTCTCGCTAAAGCGTTTGTGTTCATGAAATCATGGAAGTAGTTCGTCGCGAAAATTCGATTTCAGTTATGACGTCGGAAATGGTGACACACCAATATGACGGCGATTGGCAATCTTGTAGGTGTAATCATCCTAGCTTTTTTTTTTGGTGCCAAACACTTGCTAAAAACTGGCTTCACGTTTCATAGCAGAATAGCGCGTTCCTACTCCTTATGTCCGTGGGACAGCGCTTTACCTGCTCTAAAGCCTAGTACTCATAACCGCGAATCTACTACCAAGAATGTCAAAAATCGCTTGTTGACCCGAGGAAATAATAGTTTCTTTCAAAAGTCTTGTCTACAAACCACTGTCAACGGCTGTCAACCATTGTTTTCATACTCTTTTGGCGTCTGACAGTTTGATGCCAGAGAGAGAGGCTTTTAAATTGAAAAGGTCAATAATATTTAGGGCTTCTAGCAGAGAGGAAAGATCTTTTTTTTTTAATTGAATTATAATATAGTTATTTATGTATCAAGGGAATTATGCAGGTGTTAATACCCCAGGGCAACGTTTGTGTCCCGAGGGCCTCCGGCCCGAGGGACACCAATTGCCCGTGGGTATTAACTCCTGATAATTCCCGTGGTACATAGATAATTTTATATCCTACTGAATTTACTGTATTCTGTCTATTTTTATAAAGGAATAAGCCATAAATCAAAATTTCTATTTTTTGTCAAAGTGTAACCTATTCAAGGTAAAAGCGGGAGTTATGGAAATCCTTAACTCCCTTGGGAGTTATGATATCCTTAACTCCCTTCCTTAACTCCCTTGGGAGTTAAGACCCTGTTTATGATTATCGTAACCAAGGTATTATATGGTTTTAATAGTTCAGTAGGATATAAATTATTTAAAGTATGTTTTTTTTTTAAGATAACAAAAAATTTTTTTATGTAGAAAAGGCTTGTGTTGCCAACATAAGCTGCTTTCCATTCCAGTATGCACATTGTTGCGCTCTAGAGCTCCCCGGGAGCGCCAAGCACTAGATTTGTACCGTTCCAATATCATGACGTGTTACGTTTGTCCGTACGTTTAGCTCGGGAGCTCAACGCTCCGTGTAGCTCCGAGCGACATTTATGGGATGGTGCAGTACGACTGATGCTTCATTGCGACTGCACGCGCGCAGTTTTTTTTATAGTGTCAATGCAAAACGAGTGTTGCACTTGCTCTACCAATGAAAGACGCTAGCTGAGTTCGGCTTTACACTCTGTAAACTCTGAGCGCGGTCGAAACGATAAATCCTGTCCGTTTTAGCTCTCTAGTGTTCTCTTTTGCGTTGGGCCTATGACCGCGTATGACGTCACGATATCCATGCTCATATCGTTCCGCTCTGTGGAATGCGGAACCAAGAAAACCAAAACAACCCGCAAATCTCAAATAATTTAAGGTTCCTCCTACAAAGCAAGAACTGAGAGAACTGTTCTAGAACAATCCCAGAATTGTTCCTATATAGTTCTAAATAAACCGAAACGTTGTCAACAAAGTTCAATTACGATTCTGGAAAAACGAAAACGCGTTTTATAACATGTACAGATTGATTCCGAACTATTTCTTGAAACCACAACAAAAGCTTTTTAAAACTATTCAACCACAGTTTTGATTGCCTATTCCAGTGGGCGAACTAAAAGGTTTGTTTGTTTGTGTCGCAATAACTTGAATTGAGGTGTAAATTTCAGATTATGATAGATATAACCATAAAAACCGAACACAAACAAACGCCCCAAATCAGGAAGTACTGCTCCGAACAACACAAACAGACAAACCTAAAGCAATACTACGAGTGCAAAACTTGTCAGGGCGTTTTAGTGCTAGATTTTAAATCCGATCGGGAAATATGAAGTGCGGCACTTTCTGCCCCGAGTGCAATCAGTTCAGATCCAGTGTGATTTAGAAATTTTTATGGTATTTTGATATTTTTGGTCGTTTTTATAGGCGAATACAATAATTTTTTTTGAATTATAATAATTTATGACAACCAAACAACAAAGGAAATACAAATTAGCTGAACTGCACACATTACAGAATTCTTCAAACTAAGCCTAAAGGCTCCACCATATTGTCCAGATTGGTTTTCAATTATCTACGAGCGTGCGGTAAAGTACACTTTACCGTTTACCGCACTTATATGCAAGTAGAAAGTAGCACTTCACTACACACTAAATATGCGGTAAAGTTATACTTCACCACATAGAAACTTTACCGCATAGTATACGGTAAAGTGATAACTTATTAGTGATGAATGAATTTGATTTCTGGCAAGCTTGAAAGCTTTAAATATGTAATAGTTATTTACCTAACAAATGCGGCGTTCGGTCAAGCCGTTAAGTGCGGTAAAGGCACTTTTCGCATGTGATAGGTACAAAATTTTACCTATGAGCATCTACATCTCCAAAAAAAGGCATTAATAAAATTAATTAATGAATCAGATTAATTAATGAAATTAGATTAGATTTAGAAATGATCAAAAATCCCTTTTCTGAAAAAGAAAGGATTTTCAATCATAAATACCAAAATCTACTTAACCGCATACTATACGGTAAAGTTAACTTTACCGCATACTATGCGTTAAGTGCGGTAAAGGCACTTTCCGCATGTGTTAGGTACAAAATTTTACCTATGAGCATCTACATCTCCAAAAAAAGGCATTGATAAAATTAATTAATGAATCAGATTAATTAATGAAATTAGATAAGATTTAGAAATGATCAAAAATCCATTTTCTAAAAGAGAGAGGATTTTTTATTATAAATATCAAATTCTGCGGTAAAGTGCACTTTACCGCATAGTGTGCGGTAAAGTGATACTTTACTTTACCGCACGCTCATAGGTAAACATTGTTTCATGAGGGTTCATATTTTTGACAAAATTTGTCTTCCTTTTTTAACAAATAGAAATTGACTGAAACAAATCAATGACGTCAAAAACGTTCGTCGGTTCTTAAGCTAGAAGTCATTCATTTTAATTGTAAAAAAAATTGAATGTGTCATATGAATTAATCTTCGACAACCCTTTTTTTTCAAGTTATGACGTGTTCGATAACAAA